AGTTAATACTGGTTATTCAATCAATGCTTCCTGCCTTTATCAGATAGGACAAATTTGAATTCCCTGATGGGCGGTTTGACAGAAAATATTTGAGAACCACTGCATTAAATTGATAAGTTTTTAACTAGTTAAATAAGCATATTTATTTTTTTGTCTCATTTCATGTGTTTTAAACCAACCACAGGCAGATTTGGGCAATGTTTTGGTCTCTACTGCCCTCTGCTGGCCTTTCTGAAGAAGGCAAAATTAAAGCCCAAGCACTTTCCGTTTCATAAATAAATCACCCATTTAAATCTTATTTTTAAAATAATAAACAGGCTGACTCAAAATTTAGTAACACAGTAATTAAAAAAATATGGTTTAAATTTATTTCCATTTAAAGTCTTGGCAACGCTAGGCAACAACTGTTGCCATGTCAACACAGTTTGAGCAATAGCACAAACCCACCGCAGAGCAAACACTGTCAGAACAGCCTGTTGGACCAGCAGACATGGAGCAACAAAATACTGAAAATACATCCACGTTTGACGCACGAGACGGTTCGTTACAGCTCAACCTGCTGCTGTGGATTTAATGTTCGCTATGACGACAAATTCTAATAAAATCTATTTTCTGTTTTGATTTCAGACAAAATTAAAGATGCCAAGATCATCTTTGTCGTGGGTGAGTACASTGAACCAGTTTTAATACTGCCGTCTTTCATGCTACAGCGATGCTTCTTATTTGCTTTTATTATTCAGGCGGGCCTGGCTCTGGAAAGGGCACTCAGTGTGAGAAGATAGTTGAAAAGTATGGCTACACTCACTTGTCTTCTGGGGATCTGCTCCGTGCTGAGGTGGCCTCCGGCTCAGAAAGGGGCAAACAGCTGCAGGCCATCATGCAGAAGGGAGAGCTTGTACCCCTGGTAAGAAAATGTGCAGACATACTGTATGTGGGAAGTGTTTTAAATATTTTTCTGTATTTTCTGAGAGAATTATTAAGTATAGATGAAGGTTGATCACGGTGTTTGATGGCTACTTGCAGGACACAGTCTTAGACATGATTAAAGATGCCATGATCGCCAAGGCTGACGTCTCCAAGGGCTTTCTTATAGATGGCTACCCTCGTGAGGTGAAGCAGGGAGAGGAGTTTGAGAAGAAGGTGAGAACGCTCGGCAGGGCGGCGCATTTTAAAAAAACGGCACAAAAAGAACTCAAAATGGCCCCCTCGACTCTTTTTTTTTTATCCCAGATCGGCAAACCCTGCCTGCTGCTGTACGTCGACGCAAAGGGCGACACCATGGTCAAGAGGCTTCTGAAGCGCGGCGAGACCAGCGGCCGGTCTGACGACAACGAGGAGACCATCAAGAAGCGCCTGGACTTGTACTACAAAGCAACCGAGCCRGTCATCGCTTTTTACGAGAGCAGGGGCATCGTGAGGAAGGTGCGTTCGACAGATAAATTAAATGTGAAAACCCGTGTGTAAACTCTAACACACGTGTTTCGACCCACAGGTGGACTCGGAGCTGGCGGTCGATGACGTCTTTGCCCAAGTCTCCCAGGCTATTGATGCACTGTAGTAAAAGAATGTAACAAGATGAGCTGTTGTTTTTTTTTTTTTTTTGTTTTATTTAATTTCCCTCTTTTATACATGTCTGACGGACTAAACATAAATAGAAGGATAACTTTCCCAAACAGAATAACTTGTTTTTTTTTTAAGATTAAAGGGAGGCCCCGGTGAGAATTAAAGATGCCTTAAGTCTGATCCATAGCAATAAGRATTCAAGTTTGAAGCCACAAACCAACAAATCAGCCTGAAGCAGTGTTGTCARATCTATATTTTTCTGTCTGAAAATGAGCTAGTTTGTTGTATAAAAGTCTTGCTTTGATTATGTGCTGAATATTTATGTGGCTCCCACCGTGGGACAAACCCACACTTTACAGAATCTTTAAAAAGTCTGCACAATGCTCGATCAAAAAGTWGGTTTTGTTTTTGACATTTTCACCTTTMCTTCAAAAAGTGCATTTTTCTTACTCGTACTGATGCAGCACATCTTTTCACMCCCCCCCCCCCACCCCCCATGAAATCCTACCTTAATGCCTCCATCTCCCAAAATGCCTAGCTAGCTTTAAAGTGTCTGCTGATGAGTCAGGAATGAAGGAGTGCGAGCCAGGTGCCCGTTCTTTGTTTAAGGTGAGCCAAACAAACGACCAGGGCAGGCATTATGCAAATGCCTTACATGGTGATGCTGATAAGAAACTTGAGAAAAAGGCTGCCTGACAAATGAGGCGTCTCAGGACCGTCCAGGAGCAGTGTCTTCTGAGACGAGAAAGAAAAACCTTCTTTGTTGGAGACTTTGCAACCTTGCAAAGCTTTTCTAAGCACAGAACAGTTACAGAGCACTCAGAAAGGTGAAAACCTCTTTTTAGTGCTGCCACACGACTCCTTTATCATTGTGCCCTTGAACAGAGACAAACTGCAGTTTTTTATCCTGTCTTTAAAAACCATCATGTACTCTGTACAAGACATTTGCAACTATATTTAAAGCATTTTTTTTTTCATTTTTGTCACCATGTCAGAGGTATTAGTCTATTAAAGATTCTATTATGACAACATATTGTTTGATTTTAAAATGCAGATTTCTTTGTGTGTAAATTTGTTCAAAAATACAACCTCAACTCCCAAAAAAATTGCAAACCTCATAAACCTGTATTTTATTCACAATGAAACATAGTAAATATCTCAAATGTTAATTAATTAACTTATTTATTTATTGCTTTTTTGGGGTGGATATGACGATTTTGAAYATTATAGGCTCAACACATCTCAAAAGAGCTGCGACAGGGTCATTTTTAGCTCTGTGAAGCATTTCATCTTTGAACTGTAAAAGTCTGGGAACTGAGGAGTTTTTCTTGTCGAATGCAGGATTCTAGCTGCTCACCAGTCCTAGATCTTTCCTGAAAGCAGACAGGAAACACAGAGAGGACTCCATGCAACCTTCAGGTGAAAATGAAGACCCCAAACCCAGACCCAAACCAGTGGTTATTCCGTATGTTGCGGGTGTTTCGGAGAAACTGAGACGTTTATTTTCTAAACATGATGTCCCAGTGGCTTTCAAACCCCAAAACACATTACGGCAAAGGCTGGTTCACCCCAAAGATCCGGTGCCCCGGCACAAACAGAGCAATGTTGTATATGCTGTGAAGTGCCAGGAGGACTGCGACCAGTTATACATCGGGGAAACAAAGCAGCCACTGTTCAAAAGAATGTCCCAACACAGACGAGCTACATCTAATGGCCAGAACTCTGCAGTTTTCRCTCATTTACAGGCCAGCGGTCACTCTTTCAGAGATGAGGATGTTCTTATTCTTGATAGAGAGGAACGTTGGTTTGAGAGAGGAGTAAAAGAAGCCATTTTTGTGAAGAAAGACCGTCCATCATTAAACAGAGGTGGAGGCCTCCGTTTTCAGTTGTCCCCCTCCTACAGCGCTGCTATTGCCAGTATCACTCCACCCCCTGTTAACAATAGGTGTTAATTAGGTGTCAACAATAGCCATGTGATGTGAGTATCAGTCACATGGAAGCAGTGCTTAAAAGCCTGAATTTTGCCTGAAACTCTCAGACTGAAKAAGTCTCTTGGAGRAGAGACGAAACGTTTCATTAGAGAAGAACCCGTCCAGAGGACCTATACAATTTTTTTCTTTTTGATTTTTTTACCTGGATTACTGAGATGCATCAGGACAGTCCTAGATCTTCTTTACCATTTTTTTTGCTGAATGCTAGCATATATTCTAAACCTGCATACACTTTTCTGCATTGATAATGTCTTTTCCAGATGTTGCTGCTTATGCAAAATGTACAAATGCACCTCTTTATCATCAGAGAAATACTCTTTTAAACTGTCTGCCGATAACTGACTGGAAGCTCTGTGTAGAAGATGTGACAGCCGTAATTTAAAAAAACAGTGTTTTTAAATTTGATTCCTCTGACCACCATTTTGTTTTGGTCCGTTTAAAACTAGCTTTGGTCCAGAGATGATAGCTGCGTTTTTGGATGGTGTTCACATATGGCTTCTTGTTTGCATGATAGAGCTTTAACCTGCATTTGTGGATGATGTGGTGAACTGACAAGAACTTGCAGATGTGTTCCTCAGCTTGTGTAGTGATTATCGTAACAGAAACAGACCTATTTTTAACGTAGCCTGACGTCCTCAAAATCATCCAATACTGACTCTCGATATAGATTTTTGTGCACCGAAATGTCTCCAGATTCTTAAAGTTGTTTAATGATGATACAAACTGAGGATGAATTGATACTCCAAGGAGCAATTTTCTGAAATGGTTCCAATATTATGAAATGTAGTTATAGGCAGACTGGTGAATCTGTATTTTTGTGAGATTCAGCCTCTGTAAAATGTTCTTTTTATACCCAGTCCTCTCACTGACCTGTTGCCACTCAACCTAATTAGTTACAGAATGCTCCTTCAGCTGTTTCTTAATTATACCACTTACTCTTACAGACTTTTGTTGCAGTCGAACCAGATTTTGTTGAGATGTGTTGCTGCCATTAAGTTCCAAATTACACCTTTTTTCTCTTCCAAAGGAAATGGTACAATTTCTTCGTTTTAATATTTGTGTTTACAATGTTCCACCATGTCTAAAATATGGGTTTATGAGATTTGTAAATTGCCACATTCATTGTTTATTTACATTTTACACAATGCCCCAAGTTTTTCAGAACTGGAGTTGTAATTTATTTTGCATGATTTCTATTGTGCATACACACATTAAGACTAATCCTGGACAAACAACAAAGCAAAAAAAGCTTTCTAATAATAAGTTGTGACCAAGGTGCTGGAAAATGTAGACAAAACAGGATACCGGACACCCTGCTTAAAAAAAACAACAGCTTAACCAGTGTTATTCCAATAATCCCTTTGAGGCCTGGATGACCAACCGGTCTTCTTCCTCTACCTCACACCTTCCTCGTCTTCCTCTTGCACAAACACACATCATTTCCAGCTGGCTGAGCAAACATCACTGCGAGTTTCCGGCCTTCTCTCAGAGGACAGCGCCGATCATGACTCTGCTCTGCAGGGATGAGGAAGGAGGTGAAACGGCTCTGAAAAGGTGGGCAGGATGTGTTCATCGGAAAGTCAATCAACACAGGGCGTCTGTAGGCGCTTGGAATGCTGCTTTTACTTCATCAAGGTGCAAAACAAAGAGGTTGTAAGGAGGCTGCGATGGAATTTATCACGTAGCCTGAAACAAACAAAAAAAAACAAAAGGGTCCTAAAAAAACATATCTGAAAAGTCAAAAAGAAAGCACTGTCAACAGAACTAATGCTGAATTTCTTTGGAATAGGCAAATAAATTACCATGGGTTGCAATTCCATGTTCCATGCATTTGTTTGTACATTTTAAACCATAATCTATGACAGCATTTTCCAGGGCACTCTTGTAAATGAGATTCTTTAAATTATTTTTTTTCCTGGTAAAATAAAAGAATAATAACAACAAATATACAGCGGGTAAAATAAGTATTGAACACGTCACCATTTTTCTCAGTAAATATATTACTAGAGG